AACAGTTTTTAAAAAGTAGAAAGCAGCACTTTACCTTGCCAGGCAGTCCGAAGCCTCCTCCGATCGCACACTCTCTAACTGCTGGGGCGAAAGAGCTACAAAGAAGCAGCCTCGTCGCCTACCAACGGTTAGCAATCTGAATTCCCCACCTTTTTCCCCTGCCTTTTCCTCTTCGTAACTGGAAGCTGCGGCCGCAAGTCGAAGCAAAATTTTGTGGCCGGCGCTGGTCGTAACTTGAAATGGTCACAAGTCGGAATGTTCGTAAGTCTAGGCACCACTGTACATGATTCAGTCCCTCCATGATTTTAAAAGGCTGCAAGTTAACTTGGCTGAAAAACTCTGACAGCAATCACGTATTGGGTGGGTTCTCTTTATTTCAGGATCACATACAAAACTGAAAACCATCAAAGCAAGCCACATTTGTTGGAGACAGGTAGTACAAAAAGTGAACATCGAACAGATGTTAATATAGGAGGTATTTTGCAATGAGAAAGAACCATAGTTTCCCTTTTAAAAAGCCACAGCACAACCATATTTATGGTATATTTATATGGCTTTTAAAAATTTCTTCATTTCCATCTTAAGGCACAATAGTCAGAAACAATAAAACCTGGATTAAAAAACATTCCTGCTATAAATCGAGTGTAGAAAGATTGTCGTAAAAAACGACGAACGACCACAGTTATAGTAAATCCCAATTACTGTCGAATTCACAGGGATTGTAAACATCACACTTATTTTGTATCCCTTTCTCCAAAGTGCGCAGGATGCAATTATCTTGTCGTATCCGAACAATCTTACTAAGACAGGCTCAGTTCAAACCATGGTTTATGCTAACCATAGTTTAGAATTCAAACCATAGTTTGATCATCCAGATGAGCCTTCCGTCTGTGCACCTGTCTTAATGTCCCATCTGCTCAGCCCCTCCCTTTCACGGCAAATTAGCATTGAGAGGTACAGCTCTTGCAAGCATAGTGTGTCAATACAAATTTAATTCATTCAAGTTCAATTCAAACATAAAACCAGAGCAATCACTCAGACCGTGAGCCAGCTTCAAACTAATGGTTTCTGATTCTGGCTCGCCTAGCAAATCACATAAATCACAGTGAAGCTAAAATTCAGAGGGGCATCTAAGATGAATCACAGTTGCTGGTCAAGATCACCCAGTATGGGTGCCATGGCAGAGCAGCTGGAGACCTCAAATCTACCTGGTCTCAGGCTCTACCAAGAGCGGCCTTTACTTACAGTGCTCCTTGAAAGGTGCATTATATGTTTCATTTTCCTTAATTAAGGTGATTCTTTGAAGCTGTAAAAAGCAATGCAGAATAATCGACCAGGTGCAAGCGTATTTCCCACCCTTTTTTAGGACGGACACTTTGTTGCTTCCTGGCGCTACATTTTGGGTATTTCGTCACACGAAATTCGGCCGCAGCTATATTCGGGGTATTTCGTCACACAAAATTCGGCCGCAACTACATTTTGGGTATCGGCATGGAAGCCACAGCTATGCTTTCTATGGCACACTCATCAGTACCCCTCCGGATTCGGAAGTAACCCTGCTCGCCCCAAGAGGTCCCCCAGCTGTTCTTCACTATCCAGTAGGGTTCCCCAGTGCTCGGATCGCTGTCGTAACCCACCAGCAAGACAGCGTGATTGGTCAGTTCGAAAGGGTTGAAGGGATCCGTCAGCCCCGTGTGATGGTAGATGCCTCCTCCGTAATGCAAGAAATCGTTATAGACTTCAAAGGCCACTGCCATTGGCCCGTGCTTGATGAGTTCAAGTTTCATCAGCGCTTCATTGCACCCCCCATAAAAGCCCCCGATGTAGTAATAGTCGGTGGCGTAGTAGTGGTAACAGCTGTGCTTAAAAGAACAGGGGGAATTGGTGCCTGTGTAAGGGAAGCATGCCTCCTCAACCACGCCAAAATCCTGAACGTATTTGCCAGCAATGAGGTAAGGGAAGCCTCCGTCACAACCTAAAAGAGAAGCCAGAAGATTTAGCTATATAAATGTGGAGATACAGTCATGCCTCGCTAGACAGTTACCCCGCATGACAGTTTTTTCGCTAGACATTGACTTTTTGCGATCACTATAGGGATTCGCAAAACAATGATTCCTATGGGGGAATTTCACTGGACAATGTTTGGTCCCTGCTTCACAAACCGATTTTCGCTAGACGGCGATTCTGACAGCTCCCTCCGCGCTTGCAAACAGGTGTTTTCGGGACCTAAGCTTCACAAGACAGTGATTTAAACAGCTGATCAGCAGTTCGCAAAGCGGCTTTCCTATGGCCGATCTTCGCTAGAAAACGACGATTCTTCCCCAGTGGAATGCATTAAACAGGTTTCAATGCATTCCAATGGGGAAATGCTTTTCGCTAGACAATGATTTTGCTAAACAGTGATTTCAGTGCAATGGATTATCATCATCTAGTGAGGCACCACTTTACCTTGATGGCAGAGCTTGGAAAAAAAAAAAAAACCTTTTTGGACCTAAAAGAGAAGCCAGAAGATTTAGCTACATTAATGTAAAGATACCTTGATGCAGAGTTTGGAAAAAATTAATAAATCTTTTTTTGGGATTACAATGCCCACAATACTCAGTTAAGAAGGCCTGGCCAGGAAGGCTGGGGGATATTAGGTGCTATAATCCCCAGAGCTGGCTCAGTGAGTTAATCACAAACCGATTTTCGCTAGACGGCGATTCTGACAGCTCCCTCCGCGCTTGCAAACAGGTGTTTTCGGGACCTAAGCTTCACAAGACAGTGATTTAAACAGCTGATCAGCAGTTCGCAAAGCGGCTTTCCTATGGCCGATCTTCGCTAGAAAACGACGATTCTTCCCCAGTGGAATGCATTAAACAGGTTTCAATGCATTCCAATGGGGAAATGCTTTTCGCTAGACAATGATTTTGCTAAACAGTGATTTCAGTGCAATGGATTATCATCATCTAGTGAGGCACCACTTTACCTTGATGGCAGAGCTTGGAAAAAAAAAAAAAACCTTTTTGGGGGATTACAATGCCCACAATACTCAGTTAAAATGGCCTGGCCAGGAAGGCTGGAGGATATTAGGTGCTATAATCCCCAAAGCTGGCGCAGTGAGTTAAGTATCTGGCTATGAGCCAGAAGTTGGGAGTTTGATTCCCCACTGTGCCTTGTGTAATGAATTGAAGTATCCTGGGAATTGTAGTCATATAGGAGTCTGTTAGGTTCTGTGTAAGATGAGTTAAAAACAATGGAACATGTGAGACTGTTTTTGCAGAATTACTTGCCTGGTACGGAGATAAAAAGGCAAGGCCGAAGAGGCCTAGAAGGAAGACCAAACAAGAATACCGCTTAACTGGAATCAAGATAAGACACCTGTGGATCTCATGTGAAATATGGGTGGAGAGTGGTGTTGAGCTTTCTTGCAATTAATTGACTGACAGCTTGAAAATGTCGTAAAGAAGGAGGTCCCAGACATGCAGAAAAATGATTGGCTGTGTATGTGAAATGATGGTTTGTGTATGCTGTAGTGTAGAAGGTGAGAGACAGAGATGTTTGTTTTTCTTTTCAAGAAGAAGGGGGAGTGGACAGCCCAGCCTAGAAGCCAAAATGATTACTTAGTAGAGATTTAGCTGTTCTTATTTTATTTAGAAATAGGTCCTACCTTACAAGGATGCTGTGCTTAAAGGAAGTTATTTAGAAATAGGTCCTACCTTACAAGGCTGTTGTGCTTCTAAGGAAGCACAAAGTCAATGCTTGGCTACTTGGAAAGTAAGCAAAGGTTTTCTTTATAAGGTCAGGATAGTCCATGGGGCTCGTACTACGCTCGTACTTCTGTGGGCTAAAAGGACCAACTTCGGGGATAAAGGTGGTGATTTTGCGTCCACAGTGACTCCCTGTTCAAACACCAGAAGCCTTCACCACCACCTTTGCTGGCCAGGATTTCTGGGAGTTGAAGTCCAAGAACATCTGGAGGCCCAAGACTGGGGACCACTGGGCTAAAGGACCAACCTCGGGGATAAAGGTGGTGGTTTTGTGTCCACAGTGACTCCCTATTCAAACATCATACAGTGGACCCTCGACTTACGGAATTAATCCGTATTGGAACGTTGGGTGCAGGTCGAAAAGTCTGTAGGTCGAGACCCCATAGACCTACAATGAATTGAAAACCGATTAATCCGTAACTGGCCGTTTTTGTTCCATTTTGTTTTTTTCCCGGTCCTCCATTGACCTACAATGCATTGAAAACCGATTAATCCTGTAACCGGCCGTTTTTGTTCCATTTTGGTTTTTTTTCTGGTCTGTAGGTCGATCCTCCGGCTGCAAGTCGAACCTAAATTTTGTGGCTGGAGAAGTCTGTAACTCGAAAAGCGGAGCCGTCTGTAAGCGGAGCCATCTGTAAGTCGAGGGTCTACTGTACTCTCTTTAGGGAGAGATTGAAGATATAGGAGAAGAGCCGGCCTGGGTAGTCTTGGGTGAGCTGCATTGTCCCACAGCACCCCCCAGAGGAAGGTAATGGTAAACCACTTTTGAGAACTCTATAGGAAACCCTGAAAATGCTGCCATAAATTGGAATTGACTGGACAGCACATAATTATTGTTATAAATCACCCCCCCCAAAAGAGGATAAAGTAGCAATAACTTTTTTCTCTGTGTCTCCAAGCACTGCGGTTCCTGAAGAGGAAAATACATGATCATTTACCATGTCTCCTACCTCTGCTGACAGGACTTACCCTTTTCAAACAATTTTTAGCATTATGTTTGCATTCTTCCCTATTTCAAAGAGGTTGTGGCAGGTGGAAGGAGAAAGAAAGAAATGGCATTTCGAAACCAAAATAAGGCCTTGTTGCTTACCTTGAGAGTACTCACTGCAAGAAACAACTTTCTGGGGGCTTAGTATAGGCGTCTGTGAATTGTTGGTGAGGATGCGAATCCTGGCTTCCAGCATTCCCATTGAAGCAAATGCGTAACAGCTGCCACAGGATGCTGAGTAATAGAGAAAGAAAAAAGAAATAAATTAGCCAGCCACAAGGATGTCATAGACTAGACCCATTTCCTAAATTTGGGATAAGTCAGTTTCCATGCTGGGAGAGAACAACTGTAGTGTCCTAAGAGAATGTGGAGAATCTCTCTGAGCTGACTGGATAGGTGAGAGGTTTTGGTTATCTGGCTGCGGAGACAGGCTGGGAGTTCAATACCCGATTGTACCGTCTGGGAGAAGAGCCAGCCTGTGCAACCTTGGGTAAGCTGCACAGTCCCACAGTGCCCCCAGAGGATGGGAAGGGAAAACAACTTCTGTATATTCTCTACCCAGAAAACCCTGAAAAAGGTCACTATGTTAGAATTGACTTGACAGCACACAATTATTGTTATCAGAGAGGTGCTGTGGCAACAGTTAGAACTGGCTATGGAACAACGGATTGGTTCAAAATTGGGAAAGGAGTATGACAAAGCTGTATATTGTCTCTCTGCTTATTCAACTTATATGCAGAATACATCATGCAGAAGGCTGGACTGGAGGAATCCCAAACTAGAATTAAGATTGCCAGAAGAAATATCAACAACCTCCGATATGCAGATGATACCACTCTGATGGCAGAAAGTGAGGAGGAATTATATAACCTCTTAATGAGGGTGAAAGGTTCCCCTTGACATTTAGTCCAGTTATGCCCAACTCTAGGGGGCGGTGCTCATCCCCATTTCCAAGCCTTAGGGCCAGCATTTATCCGAAAACAGTTTCCGTGGTCACGTGGCCAGCGCGACTAGACACGGAATGCCATTACCTTCCCACCGAGGTGGTACCTATTTATCTACTTGCATTTTTACATGCTTTCGATGGCCACCGGTCCCATCACCTCCTGGCAAACAGAAGGGGAAGATATGGAGGCAGTTACAGATTTTACTTTCCTGGGCTCCATGATCACTGCAGATGGTGACAGCAGCCACGAAATTAAAAGACGCCTGCTTCTTGGGAGGAAACCGACGACAAACCTCGATAGCATCTTAAAAAGCAGAGACATCACCTTGCAAACAAAAGTCTGCATAGTCAAAGTTATGGTTTTTCCAGCAGCATTGTATGGAATTGAGAGCTGGACATAAACAAGGCTGACCGCTGAAGAATTGGTGCTTTTGAATTGTGGTGCTGGAGGAGACTCTTTAGAGTCCCCTGGACTGCAAGGAGAACAAATTACTAAAGGGAATCAACCCTGAGTGTTCACTGGAAGGGCAGATCCTGAAGCTGAGGCTCCAGTACTCTGGCCATCTCATGAGAAGAGAAGACTCCCTGGAAAAGCCCCTGATGTTGGGAAAGTGTGAAGGCAGGAGGAGAAGGGGACGATAAGAGACGAGATGGTTGGGTAGTGTCATCAAAGCGACCAACATGAATTTGACCCAATTCTGGGAGGCAGTGGAAGACAGGAGGGCCTGGCGTGCTCTGGTCCATGGGGTCACGAAGAGTCGGACAGGACTTAATGACTAAACAACAACTAGTGTGACAATCAGGAAACCAGATGGGGACTGGGGCGATCCAGATTCTATGGCTCACTGAGTCATGAAGCTCGGGTGTCCCTACCCAAAGGGTTGTTGTGAGGATAATGTGTAGGAAGGAGACCTACGTGGACCGCTTGAGTTCACGGGAGAAAAAGTGGAGTGTAGATATAACTAATCATAATACTGATAGCTAGAGTGGTATAGTGGAGTGACAGATTAGAACTCAGGAGACCTGGGTTCAAATCTTCAGTTGAGGAAACTCTCTGGTAGGGGTGGGAGTGGAAGTGGTAAAACTACTCTTTAAATATCTGACTTACCGTAAAGCCCTGTTAGTTGCTATTAAGTCAGTTCACATAACAATCAAAATACTAGTCACAATATTATAATACAAATTGTGATTATACTAAATGCCACGTTAGAAGAGATAATTCTCTTCCGGTGCAAGATGGAGCCATCCTTCTGATTTCAGCTTCGGAAAAAAAAAAAGAAGCTATTCTCCCACTATTAGGAGCCTTAATCTGATGGAATAAAAAGCATTCCATGGCAACAGGTCTGATGATGCCATCTTACAGTCTGACCATTTTCCATTTAAGCTGCTTATCGTTCACATCACAGTTCTAATTTGCAAAGTGCCTCCCTGTCTTTCCTGTCAGGCCCTTTTATATCAACTTTACAGAGGAGAGAACTGGAGTTGTGAAACCAACTGTCCCAGAATGGGAGGGGTAAACAGCCCTGTGGCGCAGTGGTTAAACCGTTGTGCTCACGACCCCGGGTTCAATCCCAGGTAGCCGGCTCAAGGCTGACTCAGCCTTCTATCCTTCTGAGGCTGGTAAAATGAGTACAGGAGGCTGGGGCAGTGTGTAACCTGCATTATTAACTTGTAAATCACCCAGAGAGTGCTTTATAAGCAGTATATACTGCTTATATATATGGGCAGTATATAGGCAGCAGACTTTGCTCTTTTTTTCAGTAGACCGAACTCCCAACTCTCCATCCAAAACCTTGAGGACTAGGAACAGGAGTTGAAGATTAAAAAGACAGCCACGGCTCTCCTCATTCCACTGGAATCCAGTCATCTAGGATTCCAACTGCATCACTTGTTCCTTTGATGGACTCAATTCTCGCTTTTAACTTTTCCACATATCTAAGTGATCCCAAGCCGGAATTAAGATTGCAGGAAGAAGTATCAACAACCTCAGATATGTAGATGATAGCACTTGGTAGAAAGTGAGGAAGAATTAAAGAATCTCTTAATTAGGGTGAAAGAGGAGAAGAATTGACCGCCGAAGAATTGATGCTTTTGAATTGTGGTGCTGGAGGAGGCTCTTGAGAGTCCCCTGGATTGCAAGGAGAACAAACCTATCCATTCTGAAGGAAATCAACCCTGAGTGCTCACTGGAAGGACAGATCCTGAAGCTGAGGCTCCAATACTTTGGCCATCTCATGAGAAGAGAAGACTCCCTGGAAAAGCCCCTGATGTTGGGAAAGAGTGAAGGCAAGAGGAGAAGGGGACGACAGAGGACGAGATGGTTGGACAGTGTCATCAAAGCAACCAACATGACTTTGACCCAACTCCAGGAGGAAGTGGAAGGCAGGAGGACCTGGCATGCTCTGGTCCATGTGGTCACGAAAAGTCGGACACAACTAAACAACAAAAGCAACAAGAGATGGATGGATATGACTTCAGAGCACAGAAGAAAACTGGGACTCAGAAGGGTAGCAATGAAGGAATTAGAAAATATAATCAATATAAAGGTGTGTCAGTGAAGACCAAGACCAAGTATCACCCACACTCTTGTATTTCTAATTGTCATTAACGGCTGTGAAAGCTGGATAGTTAAGTTGACAGGAAAGAAATGTGGTGCTGGTGGAAAGCTTCGTGGATACCCCGAAGTGCCAGAAAAGACAGGAAAGAAATGTGGTGCTGGTGGAAAACTTCGTGGATACCCCGAAGTGCCAAAAAGATCAGCAAGTGGATCCTAGACCAAATCAAGCCTGAAGTATCTCTGGAGGCAATAAGGTTAAAACTGAGGCAGTCCTACTTTAGGCAGGATTCTCTGGAAAAGACAGTCATGCTAGGAAAGATTGAAGGCGGCGCAAAGAGAGGAAGACCAAATATGACCCTATGAATTAGCACTCTCCGAAATCTCCTGTCCTCAAGAGCCCTGCTCATCTTTCGTAAACGCAAGTCTCTCCGAAATCTCCTGTCCTCAAGAGCCCAGCTCATCTTTTGTAAACGCAAGTCTGTGGCTTCTTTTAGGGAGTCAGTCCATCTCATACAGAGTCTTCCTCTTTTCCTGTTGCCTTCAACTCTTCCTACCATTATTGTCTTTTCTAGAGAATGCAGCCTTCTCAGGATGTGCCCAAAGGAAGACAGCCTCAGTTTCAAGATTTTTGCTTCCAAAGATAGTTCAGGTTTGATTTGATCTAGGACCCCCTAAGGAAGTAATAGGATTATGGCCATCATTTACTACAGTGGCGTGCAAAGTAAGGAGCTGGGAATGAGCAGCAAAAAGCCACCACTAGTCAGGAACTTTGGTGGAGTAACAAGGTAAAGTAACCATGTACACTTTTCCCAGTATATCTGCTTGCAATCTATTTTGCTTATCCTATATTTACATCACTAGACTTCCTTCCTTTGTATTTCAACTTTTCAAAAGTGCTTCATGTATTCAAAATGTAAACTTCTTAGAAAGAAGAAGCAGCCAGGAGGGTTGTGGGAGAAATGCTTCTTCCCTTTGTAACAACTTTTACACTGAGAAGATCACTCGGTCCCTTCTCCACTTGTCATTTTTTGAGAAAACTTTTGAACACAAAAGTTGAGCCTCTAAAGGCCATTTCATTCAATCCCTTTGTCATGCAAAGCCGTTTAATTCTACCACTGTCTCTAACAGATCCCAAGTATTTTGCCCATGGATTTGAAAGAAAGAAAGAGCAGTGTGATCTTGGAGGGGGCCTTCCGAAGCCAAACATCCTCTTTTCTCGTCAAAGCACATGTGGGTGGCCAGGAAGAAAGGCTTCCAGAAAAAGCATACAACAGTTATTGCATCTGACTCTAACATTCTCACATAGGGGCTGTACCTATGGAAGTGTTTCATGCATGCTGGCCTCCAAGATAAAGGGAAAAAAATTAGGAATTGAACCAAATATATTTTTAAATATCTTCAAGGATCTCTGAACTGCTGTATTTATTCCATCAGAATTTTCATAAGCATCCAAACCCTGGCACTGTCCTGGGTGTGCCCCCCCCCCCCATACACATATACACAAAGTGAAGGAATATAAGGCTACAGTTCTGAAAAGTTGCCTCTCTTTAGAGTGTGGATATCTGGCTGAATTCTGGGAGAAGGAGCAAGTTCGGGTCACTGCTATCGGACAGATTATATCTCCCCTGTGGAACATATGTGCTGCGGAATCAACAGAAGGTTTTCTTTGCATCTGGTACCAGCCTATGTCTCCCCCCAATTTCCTTCTGCCACCAGCTTGAAAAAAAGATA